TATTATTATTATTATTATTATTATTATTATTATTATTATTATTATTATTATTATTATTATTATTATTATTATTATTATTATATCAATTTGAAGAAGGTTTCTTTGCAAAAAATCTCTGTGTTTTTTTAAAATATATTTTTATATTTGAAAGCTGGACACATTTGGTCCAAAACGGAGCGTAAATATTTTTAAAAAACAGAAAGAGAGACAACACATACTCTGTACTGTCTTATATACTTACCAAAGTTAAAATTATAAGAGGAAAGAGTTAAAACAGTTTCTGATATATCTTTGCAGAGTGTGATGGGTTACAGAGCTCAAGACATTTGTCACACTGAGAACTATAGACATACAACTAACGCAAGAACCAGGATGGCTGTTGGCAAGGGAACAAGGGCTCCTTAGAAATACTCTTTGAAGAACTGAAAGCCAAACTGTTCACAGTAAGCTTTGACTACTTTGGCAAGAGCTGGAGAGCCACAAAAGAAGACATGGACATTCCTTTTGTTTTCATCAGCCAGTTTCTGAAAGAGCTGGGGAGCAAGCAAAGAAGAAAACCACAGTAACCTCTGAAATATGACACATCAATAACAAGAAGGTGATGAAATTCACATATTTTTCTATATAATATTTTTATCTTACACTTTGTGCAACAACCTTACACAACTGTCTACCTGCTCATTTTTATTTTATAATGACTCCGTGAAGTTGATGACTCAGGCAGAGACTGAACTGCCTGATTGGGTGTGGATTAGAATATGTATCAGTCTTAGTCCAATCGACTCAGGGCAATGGAGATCTCCTTTCAAAATCAGCAATATGCTGACGACACTCAGCTCTACCTCTCGTTTTCCACCAATCCGGTTGAGGCGGTTTCTGTGCTGATAATGGACTGGATGAGGGTTAATAAATTGAAATTCAATCCTGACAGGATGGAAATACTGTTAGTGGGTGCTTTGCTGGACAGACTGGAGGGCCATTTCCCTGCCCTGAATGGGGCCATTTCCCTGCCCTGAATGGGGTTATACTCTCCTAAGGGACAGGGTCCGCAGCCTGGGGATGCTCCTGGACCCCAGTTGAACTCTGGAAGCCCAGGTGGACTCGGTAGCGCGGGGCGCCTTCCTTCAGCTGTGGAAATTATACCAGCTGCGGCCCTACCTGGACAAGCGGAGTCTCATGACAGTTACACACGAACTGGTAACATCTCATATAGATTACTGCAATGCACTCTATGTGGGGCTGCCTCTGAAGATGGTCCAGCAACTGCAACTGGTCCAGAATCAAGCTGCGCGGCTGGTGAGTGGTGGAGCTGCTAGGGGACACATCAAGCCGATTCTGTTTAAATTACATTGGCTACCAGTTGCTGCCCAGGCCTAATTCAAAGTGCTTGTTTTGACCTATAAAGCTCTAAATGGCTTGGGCCCTGGATACTTGAAGGACCGCCTCTTTCCATATGAACCTACCTGGCAGTTAAGATCTAGCCAGGGGGCCCTTTTGAAAGAACCGTCCCTCAAGGAGGTAAGAGGGATGGCTTGTAGACAAAGGGCCTCTTTATTAGCTGACCCCAGACTATGGAACACCATCCCAATTGAGATTCGTCTGGCGCTGACACTGATGACATTTCAGTGCCAGGTCAAAACCTTCCTGTTCCAGAAGGCTTTTAATTGAAATAATAGCAACTGTGGGTCCTGATGCCACTTTTTAGAGTATATATTTTAATTTTATTTAAATGGTTTTATCTTTTTTTATTGTAATTTAATTATTGTAAGCTGCCTAGAGATCTTTGGGTAGAGTGGGAGGCATGTAAGTTAAATAAATAAATAAAACAAAGAGCAAGCATGATGTTACCTCTCTCTGGGGTCCCAGTCCCCTTGTTCTTTATTTTTGGAAGAAGAATTCAAAATGATTGCTAATTTTGTGAATGGCATTGCATAGAGCCAACACCCAAAATAAAATAATAAAATAAAATAAAAATCAGGGTTTAACAAAAACAGAGTCTAGGAGCCCTTTTTAAAAAAGCAAAGGTAGCATCTAAAACAATGACAGCTGTCTCTGAAAAACAAATACCAAACACAAAAGTCCTCTCACCAGTCTTCACTATCCTCACTTCAGATGGCACCCCCACAGGAGGTTCTCTAAAGGAGACATTAATTAACATATGCATCCATCTGAGAGAAGATATTTTAGTGTACCTCAGGAATTTGGTTACACTACATGTTGCGCAGCTTTCAACCCTCAGACTTCAGAATGGAGCATTCCAGTCTGTCATGTTCACTTTTTGTGGCAGAATGGCATTAGATTTACAATGTAGGCATTCTGCACTACGTACATGTACAGCTGTAAGCAAGATCTCCAATACCAACAGTATTTTTTTAACAAACAAAATAGTAGGGACAAAAAAGTGATTCAGCAAATCCATAGCTTTTTGCCATTGGATCACTTTTTTGTCCCAACCAAAATAACATAGAGACAAAAATGTCCCATGCCATTTTTTAAAAGCAAACTATTAGGCAGAGAAGCAGACATGTCATTCTTTGGTCTCCAGCAGGTAGGCTCCATTGAATGGGGATGTGACTGGAATTCTTTTTCAGGTCAGGAAATAGCAGAAGTACATGTTAAAGCTAGAGATGGGGATGAAAATGGGTCAGTTATAAAAATGGATCAGTTTTTCTGATGAATATAGCCGATTCATCATATATTCCTCGATCCATATTTGAAAATTTTTAAATCAGGACGAATGGTTTTATTCGTTAATCTGTTCATATTGATCTAGATTTGTTACCCCTTTTGGGGGCTTCTCTGAGCTTGCTGGTGCCAGTTTGAAGTTCTGACGAATCAGGACAGAGATCCTGGATTGGCATGTCTGGAGGCCAATAGTGCTGCTGAAAAGTGTATCTACTTTTATAGACACTTCATATAAGCTTTTCCCATGCGGCTGTTCTCCACTTCTATTCATGCTCTCCAGAGTGAGAATAGTTGCTGCTTGCTGACTTGCTGATGCTCTTGCGATTTTGCTTTTGCGGCAGCTAAGCAAAGACTTTTATTTTTATTTTTCATCATCATTCATCAATCATCATCATCTTTACTGGGAATTTGGGGATGGATTTCAGGGAGCTTAAGCTACTTCTTCGAAGGGCTTAATTTTACTTCAAATTCAAATCAATCAAACCTTTTTTCCCCTGGAGGCTTCTCTCTCTGTGTGTGTGTCATCCCATGGGGGGTGAACTGTTGTCGTTTCACTGTGGAATCTCTTTTCCTTTATATTCAGTTTTCAAAAGTTCATTTTAGAAGCTTGTATCTCTCAGGGAATTTTCTCTCTGTGTGTGTGTGTGTGTGTGTGTGTGTGTGTGTGTGTGTGTGTGTGTGTGTGTGTGTGTGTGTGTGTGTGTGT